CCCGTGTCCCCTGCATTGGCAGGCGGACTCTCAACCACTGCGCCACCAGGGAAGCCCCTATTCACATGTATTATTAAGTCTCTGATGGCTTTGGTAAACACGAAGAGTCCCCCAAAACATTTTGCTCATGACCGTGGGCGAGAACTGACTGAAAAATTCATGCAATTCTCCCATGCAGTTTCTGAAACTGCAAGCTGAGGACAAGGCAACCAACATCATAAAGGACACAGAAGTGTGAGGCCACCCTGTTCAGCCATAACTAACTGGTCTCTCTTTTTACTACCCTTACAGAGAAGGTACAGTAGTTGGGAACACTGGGCTCCAGAGTCAGACTCTGCTCGCTCTAAACAAGTCCCTGCTCCACTACTTCCTAAGGTTTCTTCAACTCCCTGAGCTCGGTTTCTTCATTTGTAAAATAGAGATGAAGAAGGGCTATGCCTAGGAGAGTTGTGAGATTTAAAAGAGATAATGCACATGAAGCGCTTGGCACAATGCCTGGCACCTAGAAAGCACTCAACAAATGGTAGTTCTTTTTTGTTACTACCATTGTCAGTATTTTTAGTATTATTAACTGTAACAATGGTGATAAACTACTTTGCTGAATTCATTGACTCCGGTAATACTCTAGTAGCTGATCTTCACTCACAGCAGTTTTCCTCTTTATCTGAAGCTCTAGAGAGCATTTCCCCTTCTTAGGGCACAACGTTAATTCCAACTTAAGACCCCGAACAACTTCTTCAAAAGCTCTTCAGCCAAGGTGCAGAACGGCTCCTCCTTCAACAGCTACTATCCTGATGACATAAGCACACCAGCTCAGTCAAACTCATAAACCACGCCAATTAGCCTCAAACTTTCCTACCCTTCCTCCTATCAAATTACTTTTTTCTCCCATTATTATAAAGTAAGAGCTCTCCAACATTATGGCAAGTTTCCCACTTACCAAACCCTGATATAAAGATCTTAACACTCCCTTAGTAGGTAAATACATATAGAGAGAGCCATGAGGGAAATGCAAATTAAAACCACAATGAGATGTCACTTCATACCCACTAGAATGGTCATAATAAGAAAAAGACAGATTAAAAACAAGTGTTGCCAAAGATGTGGAGAAACTGGAACTCTCATACACCACTGGTAGGAATGTAAAATGATGTAGCCCTTCTGGAGAACAATCTGAAAATTCCTCACAAGTTAGACAGAGTAATCATATGATCCAGTAATTCCACTCCTAGGTATACATGCAAGAGAAATGAAAACGTATGTCCACACAAAAACAAGTATATGGGGACTCCCCTGGTGGGCCAGTGGTTAAGAATCCATCTGTCAATTCAGGGGACACGGGTTCGAGCCCTGGTCCAGGAAGATCCCACATGCTGTGGAGCAACTAAGCTGGTGCACCACAACTACTGAGCCTGAGCTCTAGAGCCCTCGAGCCACAACTACTGAGCCCGCATGCCAAAACTACTGAAGCCCATTTGCCTAAAGCCCGTGCTCCGCAACAAGAGAAGCCAGCACAATGAGAAGCCCACACACCGCAACGAAGAGAAGCCCCCGCTCACCACAACTAGAGAAAGCCCGCGGCAGCAACGAAGACCCAACGCAGCCAAAAATAAACAAATAAGAATAAATATATTTTTAAAAAAACAAGTATATAAATATTCATAGTGACATTATTCATAATAGCCAAAAAGTGTTAGCAACCCAAATATCCATAAACAGATGAATGGATAAACAAAATGTGGTACATCCATACCATAGAATATCATTCAGCATTAAAAGGGAATGAAATATTGACACATGCATCAACATGGATGAATCTTGAAAACATTATGCTAAGTGAAAGAATCCAGTCACAAAAGACCACTTTCTGTATGATTCCATCTATATAAAATGTTCGGAAAAGGCAAATTTAGAAAGACAGAAAGTAGACTGGTGGTTGCTAGGCGCTGGAGGGGTTGGGAGGAAATGGGAAGTGACTGCTAATGGGTATGGAGTTTCTTTTGGGGTTAAGGAAAATGTTCATCAAATCGACTGTGGGGATGAATATACTAAAAACCACTGATTGTACACATTAAATAGGTGAATTGTATGGTACGTAAATTTTATCTTCATAAAGTTTTATGTAATAAATAAAAGATTAAAAAATGTCTGCCAAATGAACAACAACAAATGACCTAAAGAGGAGTGCTGAGTCCCCACGGTGAGTAGGCTGTAAGAGAATAAAACTAGGCAGCAAACTCATGAAAATGGGGTGAAGTGTTCCCCCAAAACCACAGACTACAAATCTATTTTTTTTTTTTTTTTTTGCGGTACGAGGGCCTCTCACTGTTGTGGCCTCTCCCGTTGCGGAGCACAGGCTCCGGACGCGCAGGCTCAGCGGCCATGGCTCACGGGTCCAGCCGCTCCGCGGCAATGTGGGATCTTCCCGGACCGGGGCACGAACCCGCGTCCCCTGCATCGGCAGGCGGACTCTCAACCACTGCGCCACCAGGGAAGCCCTACAAATCTATTTTTAAAAGCCACTCAAATCAAACATCTGTTAGCTTTTCGTACGACTCCAGAACGTTTTCACTACCCTAATTACAGACAATGTAAATACACTGTCATACAAATGGACATTTATTTAACAGGGTTTTTTTTCTCACAGTCTGGGTAACTCAGACATACACATATGTTAGTACATAACATAACATGTACTATATATGCTAGAGAGCAAGTCATACCTATCAAATTTAACTCATTTATTTGTTCAATCAACATTTACTATATGCCTACTATGTGCCAGGCAATGTCCTAGGTGTCAGGGATGGAAAGATGGCTGAGACACAAGCTCTCCTCCCAAGAAGCTCACTGCACAGTGAGCTGAGAGTTATCATGCAGAGACAGGAGAACATTCTGACTCATGTGGCTATAGATGAAATAAGCTCCTAATAAATATGTTTCAGTGAAAATGATACACATTTACAGTGCGGTGACTACTAACCCTGGAGTGCCCGGTCCTCTCAGAAGCAGCCTACCTGTTGACATGCTCCTCCCAGTCCTCTGGAGGGGGAGGTGCATCCGCATCGGTCCTGGCGAAGATGACATGCCGTTCACACTCATTCATCACGCTGCGTGCCTTCTGATTGTCATAAAGTGGCACAGGGGTTGACGTGACTGTCTCCACATCTATTGGGACATCTGACTCGCTGTAAAGAAGTGAGGAAATAGGACCAGCCACACGTACTTCACATAACACAGATATTTAACAATCATCTGGTTGCCAAAAATGTCTCTTTAATATAATCAGCTTTTATTTATTTACTTGTTTTGGCTGCGCCGTGCGGCATCTTAGTTCCCCGACCAGGGATCGAACCCGCGCCTCCTGCGTTAGAAGCGGGGAGTCTTAACAACTGGACCGCCAGGGAAGTCCCTAATCAGCTTTAAAGTATGTATAAGCATATTATATCCACAAGAAAATTATGATCCAAAGTCAACTTTCCCACACTTGTCTAGATCTCTGCCCTCTGACATGCTGGTATGTGTTGGGGGAACACAAAGTTGTTTTAAAATGAACCTATGCAAACATGACAAAGAGCTATTTTTTTAAAAAGCACAAATATATTCCCTAAGCATATAGTTGATTGCCTAAACATGCTTTCCAGTACAGTAGCTATAAGCCACGTGGAACTATTTAAATTAATAAAAATTAGAGGGAATTCCCTGGTGGTCCAGTGGTTAGGACTCTGCGCTTTCACTGCCGAGGGCCTGGGTTCAGTTTCTGGCTGGGGAACTAAGATCCTGAAGCTGTGCAGCGTGGCCTAAATAAATAAATAAATAAACAGAATTAAAAATTCAGTTCCTCAGTCACACAAGCCACATTTCAAGCACTCAACAGACATATCTGCCTAAGGCTACCATGTTGGACAGAACAGATATAGAACATTTCTATCACTACAGAGTTCTGTTGGGTGGTGTTGGTCTAGAGTTTTAAATAAATTCATACAAACTTGCCCTTTCCTTAGCAAGTCAACTGGTAGTTAATGATATGCTATAAAAGCCTATGATTGTCTAAGACAGATCACCTGGAATGCAGACGCCTTAGCTTACTCACTCTGTAAGGAGCCTACAACAGAAACAAACATAAGTGGATACCTGAAGCATCTTTCATATTTTAAAATGTTAAAGAAATCCTAGTGCCATGAGGGTCCTTCACTGTACCAACTTTGTCACCCAAAATACGATGTCAATCAAACTGGTCTACTGGCTATCTACCGAACATCACTTTAACTTTTTGACCTCAATGATGTTATTGTATCCATTCCCAATGGCTGGAATAATTACATCATTATGAAATGAAGTGAAATAATGTGCAGCTAGATTTGGTGGTAGGTGAAAGAGCTGATTATCTTCTGTGGACCAGACATTGGACAAGATACTTAGACTTGTATTCCTAAAATAGAACTCCTGATTTCACTATTCCAACCACATCTTCCCCAAGCCTTCCCCAACTCATGGCACCACCCAGCTGCTCAAGCCAGAAATCTAAGAGTCATCCTAATTTTGCCTTTCCCCTTAACCGTGGCCACT